CCCCTGTGACTGATAATCTTGCTACATGCCACATATATAATCAAAAGGGAGCAGATTAGACAACATTTGGATTGCAAATGTTTTAACCTTTCTTATGGTCCGAATATTTACTTATTGAAATAATGCTGTTGTTTAAATGAGTTCTGTTTGTTTTTCAAAAACAGTTTTTTTTTAAGTACAAGCTTGTTGCGTTTCATGGTTTAACATCCTCAAAAGTACTTCTTTGTGGTCTTTGTACCTACAGGAGCTAAATGTGCTTTCCGTGATTTGCTTTTGTGACAAATGTACTGCAGAAACATCCAATTTCAAATTTGTATGTGAGGTAATCTACAGGAAGTAAAAGTACTCTTGAAGGCAGACACATCAAGTGGCCCATATTGTATACCCCAAATTATGAAATCCAGTGCTTCACTGCCTAATGGTTACCCTTAAAAATATTGTAAATATTGGAAGTGCCTGCGAAAGATTTAGTCAATATTTCGATGCTGTGGTATAAGCAAAAAGACTTCCCTGTCTGTATGATAAGGCGTAATTTGTTTTTGAATATATGCATGTCTAGATCATCAACTAAAATAAACATTGCAAATAATATTCATTAAGAAATATATTTGTATTCTTAATTTTCAGTAAGGTGAAAAATGTGCACATAGTCAAATACTTCCAAGCACTTTCCTCAAAGGCATTTTAGAAATTTAGTTAACACTTTAAGTTTAGGGTCTTCACACTTTATTTAGGAATGTGTAATGTGTAATATTATAAATATAATATTAATAAATACTGTATAAAAACTGATTTCTACTTATGATGCATCATTTCATTTTATTAGCAAAAGGTAGATTTTGCTACCTAATGCTTTATTAATACATGCTTAAATATTAGGATCTTGCTTGCAATGCATTCATAAGGTGGCATTTGCAAGCCCTAAACTAAAGTGTTGCTGACATTTATGTTTATGCCAAAGTTGTGATAAACAACAGGAAGCCAAATATTAGTGTTATCAGCCTTCATATAAATATTAAGGAACTGAGTTGACTGTGTATATATTTCTGTTTTTCATTTGACAGAAAAACTATGATCCAGATCTAGAAGTAAATTCATTTTGGAAGTGGCCTTTAATGATCCCTAAATTGTGATATGATCAGTATCGTCTTTTCATCTGATTTATGTACAATAATCTGTGAGACACACTGAAATGAAATCTTTATTATATATTTTATAGCTGGTATTCGAAGCATGAAGATAAAATTAACAAGAATTGTATACTCTGTGATTTTAAAGTGCACCTTGCTATTATTCTTTAGAAGCTATTTTTATGTATCTATAGATAAGCATCACCTAATTTCCTATCCATTCCAGACATGTCTGATATGAGTAAAATAGCACCAAGTCTAAAATATTACATTTTTTTTTCATCTTGACATTATGTCCCAATGTGTGACCTCATCTTTTTGTCAGCGTTTTAGAGGCACATTTTCCTGTTGCTTGTTTGATGGCAATTAAATTTGGATTCTAAGAAAACTTGAAAATGTACATAGTTTTCACATTTTGTACATCTATAGCGACAACGATTTGATTTTATGTCATTTACTAAAACAGAAACAGCCAAGTAAACAAATAGATATGTCAATAGATAAAAGGAAGAAGATTATCCACAAAATTAGCTCGGAAAACTCTTAAAGGTTGAAACATTAATCAAGCGAGCAATAGATGTTTCTACATTGTCAGCAGTTAATTCCGTTTTATATTGACCTTCAGGTGATAAATAATGCTGGTTGCTCTAGTTAGTTGCTGCACAGAGATTGTGAGCCCTTAAATTAAAACTAGTCAGAATAATGCTGTGCTATGCTGATTTTGCTTTCTTTTTTTATTATGCTTTACCATGAGTAAACTGTGTTGTCATGGTCACTGCGGAGTATTGATACGAATGTAGTTTTTGTCCAGCAGGTGGCATTATACCTGATGAAATATATACATGATGCTTTAATAATAACAATTGCTTACACTTATATAGCGCTTTTCTGGACACTCCACTCAAAGCACTTCACAGGTAATGGGGACTCCCCTCCACCACCACCAATGTGCAGCATCCACCTGGATGATGTGACGGCAGAAGAGCAGAGTAATTAAGCCAATTCATAGATGGGGATTATTAGGAGGCCATGATTGGTAAAGACCAAGGGGAAATTTGACCAGGACGCTGGGGCTACACCCCTACTCTTTTTGAGAAACACCCTGGGATTTTTAATGGCCAGGAGCTCAGTTTTACGTCTCATCCGAAGGACAGCGCCTGTTTACAGTATAGTGTCCCCGTCACTATACTGGGGCATTAGGACCCACACGGACCGCAGGGTGAGCGCCCCCTGCTGGCCCCACTAACACCTCTTCCAGCAGCAACCTTAATTTTCCCAGGAGGTCTCACATCTAGGTACTGGCCAAACTCACACCTGCTGAGCTTCAGTGGGTTGCCAGTTGTGAGTTGCAGAGTGATATGGCTGCTGACTACTTTACTCTGGGCTTTGAGAAATGAAAAGAAATGATGTTACCATCATCCAAAACAGCATAGATTACTAATCACAATGCACTAGAAATTACCATGAAACCCATACAATAGCAACAGCACGTAAAACAGAGGGGAAATATTAATTTTTAGGCATGCTCCCTAACATTACTGAAGACTAGTTGTCGATAAAAATGCCAGCCATTTATATACCATTCACACGCACTGTTCTATGGCTGTATCCTTCACACTGTGAATGCAATGATGAATTACTCCAACCTTATATTTTCAGCACAGTGGTCCTTACATGTGATTATGATCCAAAAGCTATTTCTGGTTCTTTTCCAGAAAGCCAGTGATTACAATGAGCAGACAATGGGCTGATCAAAGAAGCAGCCACAGCCTGCCAGCTCACAGGCAAATCATAAGACCAGCTTCAAGGCAAAAGACCAAATCAGAATGCATTGCCGAATAACAGTGGGCAGTGCTGGCAGAAAAGATTTCTTACACCCATCTAGTGTTCTTACGAAACTGTATCATGAAATATTTCATATTCATAGACAACTGAGGGCTTTGGCTTAAGATAAACCTCTTTGTTTTAGGTATTTGTGTGGATTTTCTTTCCGAGACAAAAATAATTGTTCTGGTCCAACTGCCAGATCCTATCCTTATAAATCCAGTAAAAGACTAAGACCTGCCTGGCTTCAGAGACATACAGTAGCAAGCCAAAAACACTCTTAGACAGCACAGATTCAGGCTGTACACAAATATGACCTTCCAGGAGTAAGAGTGTGTCTTAGCCCTTTCTCCAAACATTGTGGTTTTATCTTTAATGTTTACACACTAGGCCTGTTAATTTACTGGGTCCACTTCGTAGCTGCACATGATGGACATACAAAACAGAGCCTCCATCCTGTTCCCTGCCCTATCTGCACATTTATTGATTAGGGGTTCACTGTAAACTATTCTGAATTGACATTCCAGAGCAGAGAAGCTCACCTTACAGCTAGGCTTAAATCCACCATGAAAAACAACCAGCATAAATCTGGCATGCTGTAATTCTTGATACCCTGACTAATTCTCTTATGAAATGAAGATTTATTTCATTCCCTCTCTCTTTCAGACTGCATCCAAATCAGAGGCATGTTGGTAGAGAACGTCTGTCGTGTTCCACAAATGTTAAACAACCTTAACAACTGCTGTTTTTAAATGGTACAAATATATAATTTCTGCTTTGAGTTTATTACTGTGCTTCACTATACTACCTACCTACTATTTTAGACTTTGTGCTATTTTACTCATATGTTACTGTTCAAGATTAACCAGTTTTACATTTTTTACATGTTGGTCGTAAGGTAATATAATGATATATAATTTTAGATAAACAGAGACAGATGGTCAACAATACCTTCTTAAACACATTTTTGATGAATGTCATAAAACACATTTAAATTATAAGAATTCTGACAGTAGAATTTAAGAGTCCAAAACGGAATACAAAAGTTATACATAGTACATACAAACAACAGTTAATTTCGGAACTTTGAGTCTGCATTTTACGGATACATTTCCTGTGTGTCCTAGCCCTCTCTCCAAACATTGTAGTTCTATCTTTAATGTTTACGCAGAGGGCCTGTTAATTTCTCTTTACTTGCGAAGCCCACTTCTGCCGCACGTGATGGACGAACAAAGATTAAAGTCCATTAGTGACACACAAATCAAGTCAGTAACTGCTGTGCATTTCATCACACGATCTTTCGGTTTCTACCCAAAAGCCAATTGTAGGTCAGAGCCTAATAGCTGCATTTTTGTTTTCCTCCAAGAGAGAGACACGGGAGTCAGGTGTACTAATGTCATAAACAGATCTGTTTTTGTTATCAGGCACATTCACAAAAAATCACATGCTATTATTTTTAAATAAAAATACAGTACAGTATCGTGATATTATGTCGTTATTAATATATGGAAATCTTTAATTCCCAATTAACCGACCTTAATTAAGCACGAGCACAAACAGCTGAGATTTGTCCGATGGTGAACGATTATTTTTTTAGTGGAAAATGTGAAAGCAACGACCGAGAAAGTTATATTTAAGTGTCCGAAAATCCAGATCAGCTGTAAAGGCTACAGACTGCGTCTGGGAGATCCCACTCTCACACCACCACACAAATGCTTTCAGTCAAGTGCTACTTTGCTATCTAAACAGTAGGTGCGTTATTATTCTTCTTTGGGAAGAGTTGTTGTCTCTCCTCCTGAGGGAGTCAGCCGCGTGTGAGGAAGATACTGTACAAACATTTAAAAACCTGATTTGTCCATTTCGGATTGCTTAGTTTTAAGTTACTTATGGTTACAATTACGCGCTGGTTACTACAATGTCGATCACGAACGCCGTCCGACTACTTCCAGAACTTACATACGCCCACCGCTAATGCTACAACCCTAGTGACGCAATTGGTTCACTGAAACCTGTATAACTCACCTGAAACTAGTGCTTCTGAGGTACTCTTATCAGGGGCATAGTGTAGCTCTGTACGTTTTTGTTCTGTAAAAAAAAAAATCGAAAGCAGAGGTCAGCCAATAGCTTGAGTCACACAGGTCCGTATCCTGTGGAGCAGCCGGATTCGCTGCACTGCGAATAATAAGGGACAAGTTTTCCAAGTCAGAAAAACGTGGAAATCGCCAACCAAGAGTCCATGTACTACTTCATGGGATTTTTCCTTTCAAATACAAATGATCTAAGCGGATACTGCTTCTAAACGCGTGCAACCCGACATGATTTAAATAAGAAAGGGCGCCGTGAAGCTAACAGGTGAGCGTACTCTGTTATTATCGTTATTATTTTCCGAGTGGCGGGACAGTTATTTTCTGTTACTGTGTGTTACTAGATGGTAAACCGAACCTCTAATACAAACTATTCGTAGCAGGAGAGGTGGTTAAATGAATAAACACTAACTCGGTGCTTTAGTAAAAGCACGATGGCTATTACATTTTCAACACAACGATACAGTACCAAAGTTTTGGCATGACTTCTTTAACCGGCGATTACGGTGTTGGACAAACTCTGCCTGGAAAGAAATGCGCTCTCCCACCCGTGCTGTGCTTCATGCGTGGTGTGTGGAAATCGCTGGCATGTTTTGTTCTTTAGCCATCGTATGTTATCGTTCGCACTGTCAGTGTGTCAGGTGAGTGGGTACCCCAATACTTGCCGGGAGGTTTAACCCGTGCATTTTGGGTTTGTTTTAAAAAGGTTACTTTTCTCTTACTGTACTGAGGTTACATATAACACAAAAGAATGCCTCTAGTGCCAGCCAGCCATTGCACTTAATGAGTCACCTTCCCCACTTTCCACATTTTAATTGCTGTAGGTTTCAGTGAGTCCAATCGGAGTTCCTGTTTTGATCGGGTTATTTTTATTTTTCGGTCTTGTGTAGGAACAGTTAAAGGAAGCTGTTCCGGGGGCAGGTGTATTAAATATAAACTACTAAAGATACCCGTTCTTCAAATGTATTAATAGGTCATAAACTATAAAGCAGGCTGAACTGTCCGTTACATTATTAACTAACCTTTTCTGTTCTCCTGCCATAAGATTGTAATAGTTTTTTTAATTGTAATAAATTGTGGCTACAGCGCTAAGAGAATTATTTACAATAAATATATACAGTATATGAAATAAAGGTTATTATTAGTACTTAGACGGGTGGTAAATATTCACCTTTTCCCTTTTTTCTCTAAAGAATATTGTTGACTTAGAATTTACAGGATTCAAGAATATTCTTTAATGTTGAGAGCTAACTGTGAATGTAATAACTGAGCTACTGTAACTGGCAAACCAAACGCATTGAAAACCTAGTTTTAAATATACAACAAGGCATGGTTTTGGACATTTTTTAGAATTTTCAGAATGGTGGAAGTGACCTTTGTTTTTGTAGTCCTGTTCGGTGACAGGCCTGAGAATCTGGTAAATCCCAGTTTGGCACAGAAATTATTAAGTTACCATTCACTTTATAATGTCTGAACTCGGTTCCAGATTTGTAAAAAGGTACAGTGGGGCTTTTCTCCAGGCTAACAATAATCATTTCAGGAGATTCTCAGGCTTCTGTTATTAATTGAGTTTTCTCCGTTTCTCCCTAAGGATGGCTTCTAAACATAGGTTTGTGGTTGTACACTAGAGAGAGCAGTGTCGCTGGTGAGTCACACTACTGTGGTACAAATAGCAGCAGCTGAGCAGAACCACAGACATGTTGCTTGGTTAACGCAAGCAGATTCTTAAGATACACTGATTGTTGTCTCTAGCAGGTTCTTAACCATGCCACTTATTCAAATACCCATAACTGAAAATAATACAAAAAACAGGACTGCTGATGTCTTCACTTTTCTGTGATGCTGTAATGTTCTGTTTAAAGATCAAACAGATTCTTTGTGTAGAAATATAATAGACATCATGTGTCACTTAGAAATGGCAACGTTTATGTGATTGAGTGAGTATTGTTCATTAATAATTGTGCTGTGCAATTAATTTCAAAATGTCTTGACTGAGAAAGAATTGGTTTCTAAAATCTGTTGTGCTCGGTAGTTTTTTTTTTGTCTTTATAGGACAAGTAAACCACTAGCGTACCTTGCTGTGGATTAGCTTGTGTTAAATCTAAAATTATGTGAAGCATGAGCTTGTATAACAGTTTGAGGCAAGAGCCTAGGCTAATCGGATTATAAAAATGAAAGCTTTTCCTTCATGAATCACCCTGTTACAAGGTTAGTCGGCTTTCAGTTAACCATTAATGGTGTTAGTTTGGAGTTTTCATCGCCTGTTTTCTTTTCCATTCCCAACAGAGGCAAAATGAAGACTGACCTTTCAAGAGCTGCTTTTATTTTTCTAATTTTCTGGGATCGGGTGGTGCAGACCAAAGGAGAATGCGAGGAGGTTCTGAGGAACTCCGAGGTGAACCTGACTGTCAAGTACGACCTCCCCAGTTTTGTGGCTGACACCTTCATACAAAACCTGGTCGTGTTTAAGGGCCACATCTACCTCGGAGCTGTGAACAAAATTCATATGTTGACTGAAGACCTGCAGAAGCTCTCCGAGTACAAGACGGGACCTGTGCGGGAAAGCAAGGACTGTCAGCCGTGCAGAGATTGTAAAGATAAGGCCAATTCCACTGTAAGTGTACTGAAAGATAACATTAACATAGCCTTGCTTGTTGAAACGTACTACGACGACGAGCTCTTTAGCTGTGGCACGGTCAGCAATGGCATTTGTCAACGCCATGTACTGGCGGATGATCTTCCCGACCTAAACTCGGACGTGCAGTGCATGTTTTCCCCCAAAACCAATGGGGGCCAACACGGGTGCCCCGACTGCATAGTGAGCCCCTCAGGAACCCAGGTCTTGAACGTTCAAAGCAATGGGATTGTGATTTTCTTTGTTGGAAACACGGCGACCCCCTCTCTTCCCTGGCAACCTTTGCAGCACTCTATATCGGTCAGGCGCATGAAGGAAACGCAGGACGGTTTTAGTTTTTTCTCGGACCAGTCCTACATGGATATTATTCCAGAACTGAGGGACGGCTATCCCATTAAATATGTCCACGCCTTTACGAGCGGCCCGTATGCCTACTTTCTGACTGTGCAGAAGGAGACGGCCAGCTCCCAGTCCTTTCACACGAGGATTGTGAGAATATGCTCTTCGGACACCGAGCTACGGCGGTACGTGGAAATGCCTCTGGAGTGCATCTTGACGGAGAAGCGCAGGAAGAGATCAACAAGGACGGAAACCTTCAACGTCCTGCAAGCTGCTTACGTCGCGAAGCCTGGAGAGGCACTGGCGGAAGAGATGGGCCTCTCGATGGATGATGATGTGCTCTTCGCGGTCTTTGCCCGGAGCAAGCCGGATTCTCCCGAGCCGGCGAACAAGTCTGCCGTCTGTGCTGTACCCATTAAAGTGCTTAACAGATTCATCAATGCCGAGATTCGGAAATGCTACACCAAGCAACTGTACCATTTCAAAGGCTCACACGAGAAGCAGTGCTACAATGTGGTAAGATGAGAGTAATACTTTGGTAAACTTGAAACAGTGACTCGAAACAAGGGAACCTGCTGCTTTGGTTAATGTTTTGTGTATAGTTTGTACATCTAGGATAGTTCAGTTTCCCATCGTATATTGAAAAGCATAAAGGATATATATATATATATCTTTTAATACCTGTTTGGTAGTGTAAATACAGCAAATGCCTATTCTGAAGCGCAGTGGATTTTAGCGCTGCTCCTTCTTATTAAAGTGCTCTGTGTGGCTTTCACTATACTGAAGCAATGAATCATTGCACTGGGGTCTTTATAGGGCCGTCTGTCTTTCTTGTTTCTCCAATATATCACTATTGATCCAGCCAATCTTTATACCATCAGATCAATACAAACATGAATTTAACTGCTGATGACCCCGTGTTTTTTTCTTCTAAATTTCTCAAATGATCTTTTCTTCTTCCTTCTTTTTTTATTTAATTAACCCCCTTTTGATATAGAGGGAGCAATATTTTTGCACTCAGTGTTATTAATGAGGAACAGTACAGATGTAAATTGGTTCTAATTAATGCTAATCAAAGTAGATTTTTAACAAAAAAAATATATTGCCAATGTCTTACATTTTGCAGTAACAGTCAGCACAATTTACAATATCAGTGTGTCTACTTTATCATGGTTGGTATTCTAGAAGTTTATTAACATCATATTTTTTAAATCAGGTGGGTAGCTGCGTCAGCATGCGTAGGCTGCAAAGGAACAAGTAATAGGTTTATTCCATGCAGAAAAAAGAAGAAAGACAGAAAGACAAAGAAACACCTGAAGAAGGCTCCACGGCCAAAACGTTGTGTTCTTTCTTCTTTTTTTCAGCATGGAATAAACCTATTACTTGTTCCTTATATTTTTTAAATGACTGCAATGTATAGTGAATGTGGCTATGAAATTAAAATCTACTTGTGCTATTTTCTTGTTACCAGTGACTGTTAGGTGTGGCATTGTAGCCTGTACTTCTCCTGACCCTGAAAGCTACTCCATCACTTGTCATCATTTACAGTAGTCAGCAAGAATGTGATAGATTGAAGTGTAAAATGAGTTTGTGCAGTGGGTTCTGCAACCACCGAGTACAGAAGATAAAATGTTTGACTTTTTTTTTTTGTTATGCTAAGGTTTATGTTGTTTTAATATGTATTTGCAACTTTATTTAGCTCAAACCAATATTCTTCTTGAATATTCTTGAATATTGAATATTCTTCTTGAAATAATTTTTAATTAAAATAGAAATAGATGAATCAAATCATCTTTTTGTTATTTTTGGGGAAATTACATAATCCTTTAGCAAAAGACCATGAATCCAGTCAACTATGTTTGAAAATGTATATGACCGGGTGATGTGCTGTGATACTGAGAGAAAACAACCAGGATTAGTCCTGTAGCTCTCTTTCTTCCCAAAAGGACCAGACACGACCTTTTAAAAAAGTACTTTTGAACTGTATTAAGAAGAACAGAGCAATATGGCCAATGGTGGCAAACTGTAGTTCTCTCTCTGTGTAACCGTAAAACAAAAGCCTGGATTAAACAAAGAAAATTTGACCAACAAACCTCAAACACCAAGTCATAGGTTTAATGTTATCAGAGGCTTTCAACTTCCACCCAACAGAATGACTCTATAAAAGACTGGATTTAAAGAATGTCTTGGTAAAACATGCTTCTACCAAGAGCACTTGATGGGTCTGAGCCAAAAGATCTAAATCTTATTCTATAGATAAATAGGAACATACAGTAGCAGAGTGCTCTGTTCCATTGTCTATTGAGCTGTTGAGCATACTCAGCCGGCTGAGTATGAACAGTTCATATGTTCCTACCGTGACGTGGAAGATGAAAAGGTGATGCAGGTGGCATACGTCTTTGCTTAGGCGTTCTTTTAATTAAGATGGAATAGAGGAGGTCTCCATGATAACCCTAAATGCCCTCTTTAGAATCTGCCCTAACTGCTTGAAAACAAGACAGTTTTAAATGTCAGTGTGCCTCTTTTCTATTGCTGTAGACTGAGCTGGTTAATTTGGCTGAGGTGCAGCTGGAAAGCATCACTGCAGTTCGGCTCCACCTTATGTACACTTTGTCAGGGTGGGTGTGTCTAGGTGAAGAAACGTTCAACGGCAGCTTGAAGTGACAATATTGATGCAATTTATTTTGTGTTACCACAGCAAAAATATTTATCACTCCCTGCAAAGCAGACTAAGCAAAACGAACTGTGTACATTTGATGACTACTGGTACAGTATGTTGCCTTTTTAGCAATGTAGTGGAATGTGATGAGATGGGAATGGGAATTATAATCTTGAGATGTGAAATGAGAGAAAAGTGGAGCACATGAACACGGAGAGATCATGCAGACTTCATGCAAAACTGCGCCGTTCCAGAGTCGAACCCAAAACCGCAGAGCGGTGCAGTTTTGCATGAATGTACTGTTTTAATCTCCTGCCTCACACAATATAATGTATAGCCCTTTGAGTATGTATATGGTAGTGCTAATCACCATGCCTAGATCATACATACTCAAGGGCTATACATTATATTGTGTGAGGCAGGAGATTAAAACAGTCCATTTTATTTTAAAATGCTTTTTAAAAACTCAAATGAATAAAACACAGTAAATTGGTTAAATAAAACCAAGAGTAAAACTAAATTATAGATTAATAGCCGTGGCAAAATAGTAGCATTTAAGAGTGTTTTACAAAATGTTTGTTGTTCCACCCTATAGAGTTGCTCAGGAGCAGGCCCAGTCACCCATTTTGTGGGTTTTGATCTTCTGTAGAATAAGAAAATCAAAATCTGATGGTTAGGGTTTGACTGTACTCCTACAAAAGTCCTTAAAGTAACCTGGAGCTAGATGTCAGTGCTTTACTGTATATGTAATCAGGAACCTTTCAATCTTGTCTGAATTTCACTTTGTGCCACGCAAATTACACAGGATAGGAGCTGTGTTTAGGCACAGTAAGTTTTGTTGCTCAGAAGCCAGATAATTGTGGATGTACTTGGTACTTTAGTAAATAGCCCTGTAAGTAAAGTGTTTCAGTAGCTCAAAAATAAGAAACTGTAAAGGCATGTATCAACATTTTCTACACTACAAAGAGCAAGGATTTAACAATGTTACTCAAATGTGAAAAAAGATAGTTTTGTTATATTTAATTATAGCACTGTGGTAAGCAAGACTGTAATCATCAGCTTTGTGCAAGTGTTGTTGAAAGCCAATAAATGGGACTTCAATCTTGATAAATTATCTTATGCTCTATTGCATAAATATCTTAATATCATACTGGCAACTGTAAAGTCTGGCAGTAGTAGTTGTAGTAGTAGTAGTAGTTGAGTTGGCAAGTGTAAATCTGAGGGTCATCTACATAACTTGGTGAAATCGAAAACTATGATGGTGGGTAAACAGACCAAGGGGCAGAGATACCAGCACAGAACCCTGTGGAACACCCAGAGGATCATCAGATTTAAATGGCCAAAATTTACAAGCAGACTTTTATTAGCCAATGGGAGTTAAACCAACAGAGGGAAGTATGGTCGACTCGTAACTTTTGCAGGAGTTAGGCATTTTGAGAAGCACGTAAAGTCAAATCTCCTCATACCTGTAGTCAAATTGTACCCTCTAACACTTTAAAAACCCTAATAACCTCTTACAGTAATTTAACATATTAAATATAAGTTTAAAACCATAATCAAAAGTAAATAACCGGACTATATAGGCTCACTAACTAGCTCTCATAGGCATGCTTGATGACGTTTTCAGAGAATAACGCATTTTTTCAGTGCTTTTTATTTTATGGAGCAGACCGCATTAATCTGCGAGTGCTAAATTGCGAGTCTACTGTAGTAGTAATCTCTAAATAATGTTCCATAACATCCAGTAAACTTCCATGATTGTCAGAATAGAAGAAGATATTGAATGGTTCACAACCCATCTCCAAGTCGTTAAATACCCGTGCCTTAACTCGGTGAAAATGCAATTGAGTTGCAACCACTTGTTTCTGACTTTTTGCAAGAAATGGCAAATTGGAAACAGGTCTGTACTTATTAAGAACTTTAGGACCAGGTTTCTTTTAATAGGGGGATGACCGCAGTAGACCAGCAGCTTGTAGGTCTTGTAGGTACAAGACCAATTTTCAATGTCTAACAAAGAGCTGAGAAATTAGATTTTGTTAACAGAATACCAGTGGAGTTGAAAGCAGAAAAGTAAATGTACAGAATATGTGCAAATAGCAGCGTAGAGCAACAAAGGTGTGTAAAGTTCCTTTAGCTGGTGAACTTGGGAATATATGTAGCGAGAGTGAGAGTGAGAGAGAGTGAGTAGAGGTAACATGATTACAGAAGATGAGGTCGCGCTTCTTGATGTGAAAAAAATTGCATGGATGTTTACATTGCTGGTGTTTTTGATAGAAGATGAATAATATCGCAGGACCATTTACTTCAAAAATATGTAAGACATATTTTGCCTCAGTCTTATGACACTTTTTGAATGGCCCCAGTTCAGAAGGCAACAAGATTCAGTTACAGCAGCTGGAAAGCAGTTAGACATGCTGCATACTGTCGATGTGTACTTTAAAACAGGCCAGCCAGGTCACCAACAGCTGGAAAACAACTATGGAAAGGGAAAGTTTTTTTGTCCTTTCAGCATTTTTCACAATGACTTGAAGAGCCAATGACTGAATTCCAGTCTTGTTTTTAATCAGGTTAATCACAATTTACATGCAAATTCACAAGAAGTTAATTTATGTGTTTCCAACTGTGCCCATAAATGAGAAGAAGGTCACCGACAGGCTAATTTCAGTAACTGCATATTAAACATTTTAATTTTCCAGCTTTTGCTCAGAGTGACCTTCAGTATTTAAGACTTTCACAAGCATTACAAGTAGCTTCTAGAGAAGTTATTTTTTGTCTAGCATCTTATAGAACTCAATAGGACTAATTGTTTTGCATCAAGGTCTCCCTTTCTTGCTACACTGTTGCCTTCTAGGTTCTG